GTGTCCGGGCTTCGATCCAGATCTTTTCAGTCAGTGCCCAGAGGTGAGTTTGCCAGTTTGGAATGAATCCCCCTTTTTTTTGCTGGTCCCACGATTTAAGACACTGACGCCGAGCCCGTACTTCACGGCTGGCATGCTAGTAGGTTTCTGTCTCCATCTGGCCCCGACACGTTTCTGTGGGGACGGATTGGCCAGAATCTCAGCGTTAAGTCTTCTTCTGACCTTATACTTGCGCACATCAACTCCAACCTCACCGTCAGCAAAACAGTTGATCGTTGCATTCCAGACTGGGTGCGGCTCGGAAATGAATTGGTGACAAGTTGGTCGGGGACGCTGCGGCAGCGTATCGCGTGCCCAGCGCCGCACGGGCCAGGGTAGCAGAAGCCGAATGGCGCGCCCTGCTGGTGCGCAGGAGACTCTTCCGTGCCACTTTAGACGCAGTGCGAGCCGAGGATTGTCTGAAGCGCGCCCGGAGGGAAGAGACCGCAGGGGGGTGCGGGCCCTTCTGCTCCACCTGGCGCTGGCGCTGCGGGCCACTCGCGGTCTGTCCGCATAGCCCCGCGGCGCCCGCGCGGCCGCGCACGGACGCCACGAACTGCGTGCTCGGACGTGTGCGGTGCACGCACCGACGAAGAGCACCGCACGCATACAAGCCGAGCAACAAAGCGCACAGATCTGCTCCACCTGCGCCTCCTCCTGCCGCTACTGCACGGCCCTCCCGTGCCCAGTCCAGCTATGCCGCCGCCTCTTTCGCAGCGCAACACGCGTTACTTGAACGCGGGCGTAGATGCTCACGGTGCTGGTGCTCGGCCGCAGCCAGCAAAGTCACGGAATGGATTCGCCACGCGAAGTGCTTTGCACTGACGTGCACAGCCACAAGTATCTTTAGACCACCCGTTGGGGCACGCATCCATTTGTTTGGAGGGTGGGTCCATTCGAATCACCGCATGGCCTATCACGATGGTTTGAACTTGTGGTCTTGTCAACAGTGTGGGAAGGTTATCGCAAAGAGTCTGCAATCGCTCAAAGCAGCTGAATGCAAGCAAACCCCCACTGGACGAGAGCATCTTCGGCAAATTCGGGCAGATTTATGGCCCAAAATGTTCAGCAAAGCTGAAACGCTGAGAAGAGTGCAAGTACAGATGTTTTCCCAAAGCCTTGGTCATTCCACCTCCTCCTCATCCTCATCCTCTCCCTCCTCTCTTTTTCTTCCACCTCCTGCCTCCTCCTCTCCCTCCCAGGAGGTCGAGCATGGCTCAAGATAGCAACCGACAGGCCTCCAAGAGGCCTCAACAAAGCCAAAAGACCGTCCAAGATAGCTGAGCATGGCTCAGGATAGCCTCCGACAGCCTCTAGCCGAACATTGCTCACGATAGCCTCCGAGAGGCCTCAAGAAATCCCTCGATCGTGTCTGGATGGGCTGGTAGGACCACGCGAAGCGTCAAGAGTTGGAACTTGCTGAGAATCGGCGAACTTGGAGGATGCATCGGGAGTCGCGGCAGTTTCAGAGCGATCCAGAGCGCTCTGAGAGCGGGGGGGCCCGACCACACGAAACCTTCCACAAGAAACCCAACCCTGCAACCAGGCAAGCATTAGGTCGGGCAAGTCCTCCTACAGGAGGATATTGGACGCAAATCAAAACAAAAACCCAAAAATGCTCAATCACAGTCGAGATGAACAGGAAAATCGTCCCCATATTGTTTTCTGACTATCTGTGATCATTGCTCCTGTAGGGGGACATGCCCAGCTCCAGGAAAGCAGGGCGCTTCGTCGCACGGACCTCGGCTGCACCTCGATCCACGCCCTGCGCCCGCCTGCCCCCGCCCTGCCGCTCGCCCAAGGGCCGGCTCCACCGCGTGGGCTGGGGCTCCGCGCCGCCGCCCAGCGCGCGGGTGCCCCGCAGGGCTCGCGCGCCCGCCAGCGCCCATCAACGGGACGCCCAGAGACATAACAGTACACGTCGGTCGGAAGACGTAGGTAAACACATGAAGTAGGGAGGCGGATGAAGTAGGCTGGGTTCAGTCTCTCCCAGAGAATAACAAGACAAAGCAGAAGCAGATCGAGTATTGAAGTAGGAAGGCGCCAGAAAGAGATTGGGATCCGGAAACCCAGAAATACCTACTTTCAACGACCGGCGTGTACGGCAGGTTCGTGACGACCCCAGCGTTGGTTTCTGACGCCGCGTTGATCGTTCAACCTTGAAGGATTGGATGCTTTTCGATAGCCCGATCGCTGCATGCAGGCAGATTCTGGCCCACTGGCGGCATTCGACCTTGAACGCCCGCGGCGGGGTCGTCGCTGGTCGACACGACGCGAACCTACCGTACTCTGTGTTCTCCTCGGAGGCGCGCGTCCGACTCGTGCACCGAGCTTGTGGCAGATCGTTCCCCGGGCGCCGTGGCGAAAAAAACGCGCCCACCACGGCGCACATGCTGCAAGACCTCTCTCGGTGCGCGCGCGTCACCCCAAGGGGGGGGGGGGGGGGCGACGCAGACATATTATTACAGAGCAGGTTTAAATACATAGGATTGTGTTATACATTGGAGTTCTAATACATGATTACTTTAGTCTTAAATCAATGCCTACATTACTCCTTGTTTTTGATACTGAATCCCTTTATTTTTAATATCTGATCCGCACGCGAAGCATGTATTAAAACCGGCGCTGTAGCATGTTTCGGGGATGGACAGACCTCCCTTTAGTAAAACGTGGTTTAGTGAAAACGACCTCGGGCCCCAACCTGGCGGGCGCAAGCCTGGAAAATAACGGCCGCGGCGCCCTCTCGAGAACCGAAAACGGACAATTCACTAATCGACGTGTCACTATTGGGGGTTCTGTCCACCCCCGAATGTTTAGAAGAACAAAAGACACACGCCTAAACTTTCGGCGCCCCGCGCGGACCTCTCGGCTCCGCGCCAAAGCCCCCCCCCCACCTGGCGGGCGGAACGCACCAGGGGCGGCGCCGGAGGCGTCGCCGGGGGGGGCCCGGCCGTGGATCCGAGGAATCTGCGCGGAGCGCCAAAAGTTTACAGTCGAGGCGTTGACCTAAGGAACCCTAAATAAGGAACGAGGACCCTATTTTCCATAAGTTGAACTTCGATTTCGCATCGAAAACCTGAGGAAAATCCAAGGCAAGCTGCGAAACAATTAAGGAACACGGAGCCCCTCCCCAACGAAAATGGTTCCTTCTTCAGGGACCCGACTGTATGTTTGTGGTGTTTCTTCTTCGAGTGCTGTGGTGACGCCGAATCAAGGCTGTCGGAAAGAGCGAGAGCAGGGAGCAGCCTGCCTCTGCCGCGGCGGCTCTGCGCCCCGCGGCACGGCCGCGCCTCGACCCCAGGCGGAGGCCGAGAGGCCGGACTTGAAAAATCCGTACGTCAGGTTCGTGCCGCGTCGACCCTGGCGGTGGTCTCTGACACCACGGGGATCGTTCAACCTTGAACGATGGGCCGTTCAACATCGTTCTATTCTGGGTCGTTTCCAAACGCATCGATCGATTCTGGGTCGCCGGCGGCGTTCAACGTTGAACGCCGGCGGCGGGGTCGCGGCCGGTCGACACGACGCGAACCTACCGTACAGTGGTGGGCATAGCCTGCCCACGAAACGCAGCGGCGCGAGAAACAACTGAACATCGTCTATCCGACCCCCATCCCCAGTGGCCTGGCCTGGGCCCCGCTGGCCGATTTGGCCCCGCAGGTGAGGAGATGGGCCGTTCCCTTCGGGCTTCGAGGGGTGTGCCCCCAACTGGGGGGGTATGCTTAGGGGAACAAAAAGTGACATAAACATAAAAACTCGGAGGTCCGCGCGGATTTCTCGGATCGGCGCTGGGGCCCCCTGGCGGCGCCTCCAGCGCCGCCCATGGCGCGCTCCGCGCGCTAGGGAGGGGGGTCCCGCGCCCATCCGAGAAATCCTCGTGGACCTCGGAGTTGTTATGCTTATGCCACTTCTTGTTCCCCTGATGTTGGCGGGGGTCTCGAAGGGGATGGGGCATGGGGGATCGGTTGAACGAACCACATGGCAGCAGCACGGACTCCCGCGGGTCCGCTTCGCGCCTCTCGGGTCGGCGCCGGGGGGCCCACCATGCAGGCAGCGCCGCGGGCGCCGCCTCGGGCGCTCTCCGCGCGGCGAAGAGGGTGCCGCGCCGAGCCGCAGAATCCGCGGGGACGTGCGGAGAGCTTGCTGCACTTGTTGCTCTTCTTGTGCTCATGGGTACAATCGTTCTTCGGATGTCTCTGCGGCGCTGGGCAGGTTCGCCCGTGGCCAACGTGCGCGGAGGCCCACGCAGGGGGAGAGAGGATTAGGAGGGCAGAAACTGAGACGCGATGGACGCGGTCATTCCAAAAACTTGCCACCGACATCGGGGATGCCAGCGATCCGTGGCCCTGCCCTCTCAGGGCGGGCGTGCCGGCGCCACTCTCGGGCGGAGTGACCCGTTCTTCCCCCTCTGCGCCCACCCCATCTCCGTAGCTGCCACCCCACGCCCACCTCCTTGCCCTCCGCCGTCGGGCCAGACCCACGTCGTGCTGCTGGGAGCCTACCCTTGCTCGCACTTCTCAGGCCCGCGGCGCGTCGCCAACGCTGCGGAGACTCTTCAGGTTGCGTGCGGTCTTCCTCCTGGGCTTGGGGAAGGCCACCTGGTTGCCCTGCGAGGAGGACGAGCAAACTGCATACATTCGGCGGCCTGGACCCGCAAAGATGACGGCCGCGACGCCCTCTCGCGAACCGGAAACGGCCGATTCGCTCATCGACGTGTCAGGGTCGGAGGTCTGTCCACCCCCGGTACATACAAACGTTCGGAGGTCCGCACGGATTACATGGATCCGCGCTGGAGCTACCTCCCTGGCGCGCGGAGCGCGCCAGGGGCGGCGCCAGACTGGGCATCGTTCGGACGTCCATTCCCTGTGTTGTTTTCGGTTTCGTGCGTGGTTTTTTCGCCAAATGATCGAGGATGCTCCTCGATGGCCCTCGCCGAAGGAAAAGTGCACACGTCCGAGCGATGCCAAGCAGAGGCGCCGCCAGGAGGGGCCAGCGCCGATCCAAGAAATCAGCGCGGAGCTCCAACCAGTTGTGCCCATGCCATGGTTTGTCTTCCGTCGACCTGCGAGAGGAAGACAGGCTTCCAAGCATCGGGGAACCTCGCCTGCATGACCGTGAGCTTGCCGTAGGCATGGAGGTTGCTCTCGAGGCCCTGCCGCGTGCCCCAGCACACGCTGCACACCTTCGCGCTCCTTTTGGGCCACGCCTGGAAGCCCTCGAATACGCCGAAAAGGCGGATGGCGACCTCAGCGCTCACCTGAAGGGCGAGGTTACACGTCAGTCGGAAGAAGCAGGTAAACCCACGACATAGGAAGCCAAATAACGTAGATTGGGCACAGGCCCTCCCAAATAATAACAACACACAACAACATCGTATCGATTCTTGAAGTCGGAAGGCGCTTGAAGTAGAATGGGATCTGGGAGTCCAGGAATACCTGCTTTCAACGACCGGCGAGTAGGGGGGTATGGGCTGGTGGGGGATGCACAGATCCCAGTCGCCGATTGATCGCCGATGGGGGCGGAAAGCCCATCCCGCAGAGGAACGTATGGATTCGCTATCGGGGGCCTATCGCCGATCTATCAGCAATGTAATGCGGATTCCAGCTCGATGCTGCCCCCAATGAGTCCATCCCCCCTAAATTAACGTTGCCCTTGTTCACCGCGTTCACAAACGCGTAGCCGACCGCCTGGTTCGTCTTGAAGTCCATCGGCAGGTACACCAAATCGATCTGTCCTGGCAGGGGCGTCCCGAGAGGAACTGGAGCAGACGGGGTCGGAGGACCGCGCCGCGCCGCCCATGCATCGGCGACGGCGGGATAGAGAAGAACGGGATCAAGACCGAGCTGCATCGCCGATGCACCGGCAATGCAGCGCGATCCTCCGACTCCATGAACCAAGCAACATCAAACATCAGAAACCTGCGCGTCTGTGTTAGATGCTCATCCTGGGGACCTTCCTGGCGCCACTCGCTCCACTCGTGCGTCGAACCTGTGTCGAAGCTGTGTCGAACCTGAGTCGAACCCGAATCTGCGTCGTCTCTGAGTCGAACCTGAGTCGAACAGATCCGTTAGGTGGGCCCCAGGAGTGCCCCCCAAACGACCATCGAATTCTGTGGGTCCGCGCCAACTTCTTGCATCGGCACTGGAACCCCTTGTCGGGCGTTGGCAGAACTGGGTCTAGTGGGACCTGGTTTAGTGATCTGTTCCAAGGACGCCCTCCCCGTCCCATTCCACTAAGTAACTGCCGTCACCACAAAAAACACCAGCTACGGCAGACCTGGTTTAGTGATTATAATCCATATTTTGGGCTTCGGGGCCCAATCACTAACCGGCTCCCCTTAACGGGGGTCCTGGCTATACCCGACCCCTTGGCGGCGCCTCGGGCGACGCCACCGGCGCGCTCCGCGCGGCAAGGGAGAGGCCCCAACGCTGGCCCAAGAGATCCGCGTGCGCCTCTGAAAACTGATGCTCTTGCTTCGGTGGCGCAACTTCGGCGGTGGACAAACCTCCCTTTAACAAACCACCACGTAAACATGCCAGAGCCCAGAGCAAAACCCGGACGCCCGATTCATCCCAGATAGCTGCTGTCCGGGGCGACCCCAGTTCGGGCCTCCGAGGCACGAATCCGTAGCTACCTTCGGCGGTGGACAAACCTTCCTTAAATAGACCTCCCCTTAGTGAAAACGGCCTGGGACCGAAACCGACGGACCTGGACCCGCAAAGATGACGGCCGCGACGCCCTCTCGCGAACCGGAAACGGCCGATTCGCTAATCGACGTGTCAGGGTCGGAGGTCTATCAACCTCCGACAACTCATGGGAGCCTCCCATATCATCTTGTCGGCTCTTGCGAATCGACGCTCATCGACGCTGACTCGACGCTGGCTCGGCGCTAACTCGACGCGAATCGACGCTTGCCGACGCTCAATCGGCGCGATCTCATCGACTCCGAGGCGCCAATCGACGCTCATCGACGCTAAAGGTGAAAGTAAGAACGATTACACAGCCCCCATGATTTGCTACCGCACCTTTTGTGTCTCTTCTTGGTAGTTTTCTTCTTCGGACTTCTACTTGAACGGGTCAGTGCAAACCTGGGCCCGTCAAGCTTTGCAAGATGCTGCAGAATACAACAGGATCCTGCGCGCTCGCCCGGGCCAATGCAACCCTGGCTTTGCAGGATCTTCGAAGATCTGGCGTTCTGCCCCGCCCCCCCGTTGCATTGGCCCCCGTCCCTACCAGACATTGTTGTTGCTGCTGTGGTTGTTGTTGTTGTTTTTGTTGTTGTTGTTGTTGTTGTTGTTGTTGTTGTTGTTGTTCTGGTTGTTGTTGTTGAACATTATTACTTCTAAAGAATAATTATTGTTGGGGCCCCTGGTGCACGGCCCCCTCGCCGCGCCTAGGCCGCAGCCATGTTTTCATCATTTTCGTGAGGAAGTCTCCGGCAAAACGGGTTGGTCCGGATCCGGTTGTTTTGTTCCCCCCCGCTTTCCCTTGCAAAAAACATTATAAAATGACATTTCTTGTTCTAACATAGCCACATTTCAAGAATCCCTTGCAAAAGAAAGGTAAAGTGGACATTCGCGCGCGCAAGACGAAATCCTTCCAACACCTTAGTGTTCGTAACGATTTTAACATAAAAACATCAAAAAAAACCAATGGTTTTTCAACAAAAAAGTGTCAACATTTCATCCCGCGCGCTCTTGCGGATTTGTAGGAAACCCAACACTTTTTAAACATTTCTGTCAAACGGGCTTTTGCGAGCAACTTTTTCACGTGCTTCGAACTTCTCCAACAACGGTTGCGCACCTGCCAGGGCCATCATCCCTGTCAAATAATACCATGCGGGACACATTCGTTTTTTCTTCGCGCGCGCACGCCGTCGTCGTCGGCCGCGGGGCCCTGAATAGTAGCCACGGTCGTCCGCAGGCCACGAAGTGAAGTGTCCGAACGTCATAGGGCGGGAAGCTGGGTGTGGGTGGTGGCGAAGAGTCGTTTGGAAATTTGGTAGAGCTTGAACCGGCCCCCCCACAAAGTGGGGGTATTGCGGGCCTCCTATGAAAACCCTGGCACTGGTGAGAACGGAGTGTCCCCACGTGCTAGTAATTGTTGTTGAACATTATTAATTCTAAAGAATAATTATTGTTGGGCCCCCTGGTGCACGCCCCCCCTGCGCCGCCTAGGCCGCAGCTACATTTTCATCATTTTCGTGAGGAAGCCTCAGGTAAAAGATGTGACAGGATCCGGTTGTTTTGTTGTAATCCGCTTTCCCTTGCAAAAAACATATAAAATGACATTTCTTGTTCTAATATAATCAAATTTCAAGAATCCCTTGCAAAAAATAAGGTAAAGTGGACATTCGCGCGCGCAAGACGAAATCCTTCCAAAAGCTTAGTGTTCGGAGCGATTTTAACATAAAAACATCAAAAAACCAATGGTTTTTCAACAAAAAAATGTCAAAATCTCATCCCGCGCGCTCTTGCGGATTCGTAGGAAACCCAACACTTTTTAAACATTTCTGTCAAACGGGCTTTTGCGAGCAACTTTTTCGAACTTCTGCGACAACGGTTGCGCACCTGCCAGGGCCATCATCCCTGTCAAATAATACCATGCGGGACACATTCGTTTTTTCTTCGCGCGCGCACGCCGTCGTCGTCGGCCGCGGGGCCCTGAATAGTAGCCACGGTCGTCCGCATGCCACGAAGTGAAGTGTCCGAACGTCATAGGGCGGGAAGCTGGGTGTGGGTGGTGGCGAAGAGTCGTTTGGAAATTTGGTAGAGCTTGAACCGGCCCCCCCACAAAGTGGGGGTATTGCCCGCCTCCTATGAAAACCCTGGCACTGGTGAGAACGGAGTGTCCCCACGTGCTAGTAATTGTTGTTGCTGTTGTTGTTGTCGTAGTTGTTGTTGTTTTTGCTGTTTGTGTTGTTGATGCTATGAGTACTACTCGTATTACCACTGTTATTTCGAATATTATTATTCTTCGACCGCCTGCTCTGGCCCCATTTGGAAGGCCTGGACCTCGGAAGCCCTGCGAGTTCAGCAGGGCCACGAGCATGTCCCGCGTGAGCAGGTAGGGCACGTTGCGAAGCACCACGGTGGTGCGCCGCTCGACGCCGATTGACGACGGCGGCTCGCCGATCGGCACCTCTCGGACAGCCAGCTGAAACAACGGTGGCTCTTGAGCATTGATTCATAGATCCCCATCCTCACTACCACGGGTTTGGCCCCGAGGCTGGACCTAGACGTTGTTATTCGTTCTGTGTTCCGATTTGCCCAACCTGGTTTCCTGTGCCCCGTTTCCAACACGCAAAACAAAACACAGCCGAAGTCCAGCAACACAGCGTTGAAGCCCAGCCCTGCTTGGCCCCACTGGCATATCTATCCTTCTAGATCCCAGATTCGGGGATGGACAGACCCCCCTTTAGCAAAACGTGGTTTGGTGAAAACGACCTGAGGCCCAAACCTGGCGGGCGCAAGCCTGGAAAACAACGGCCACGGCGCCCTCTCGAGAACCGAAAACGGACAACTCACTAATCGACGTGTCGCTGTTGGGGGCTCTGTCCACCCCCGACAGATGGGGATGTCCGTCGTTCCCTTCGGGCTCCGCGGGGCCCCTCCCCGACATGGGGCAGAGGACGGTGGGGCCGAGGTGCCGAGGCCCGGCGGGGTTGGGGATCGGTCAGGCGATGCTGAAACTCTCCCGCCTGGCCCACAGCCGCTCAAAATTCAAGGGGCCCAAGGACACACAAATAAATACACACAAATAAAATGATTTCCCATATTTTCCCATGTTTTCTGGGTTTTTGTCTTCCCCCCACTTCCCATGTTTCGCATATTTTCCTGAGAGTCGACGAAGAACTGTGTCTGTGTGTTTTCTCCCCTCCTGAATCGGTCAGGCCATGCTGAGGCTCTCTCGCCTGGCCCATCCGCTCAAAATCGACCCCTGGAGATCCAGCCTGGCCCGCTTTCCGAGGCGCATCCAGCTGTCGTGACCAGCACCCTTCCGGAGAGCCCAAGAAGAACGAAAACGCCATCCGCTCGGATCGGTCCCCGGACCCTCCTGGGATGGATCTTGGCCCGTTTTCCGAGGCGCATCCAGCCTTGGCGACGAAGATCCTCTGGGAGGCCCCCGAAAATAGACCTGACAGCGCCAGGCAGGTCTGCCGGTGTCTCGACTGGCCCTCCTCCAAGGGTGGCTCGCCGGTTGGCGCCTCCTGGCCAAGCGCCAGGCAGGTCTGCCGGTGTCTCGACTGGCCCTCCTCCAAGCGTGGCTCGCCGGTTGGCGCCTCCTGGCCAAGCGCCAGGCAAGTCTGCTGGTGTCTCGACTGGCCCTCCTCCAAGCGTGCCTCGCCAGTTGGCGCCTCCTGGCCAAGCGCCAGGGAGGTCTGCCGGTGTCTCGACTGGCCCTCCTCCAAGGGTGGCTCGCCGGTTGGCGCCTCCTGGCCAAGCGCCAGGCAGGTCTGCCGGTGTCTCGACTGGCCCTCCTCCAAGCGTGGCTCGCCGGTTGGCGCCTCCTGGCCAAGCGCCAGGCAAGTCTGCTGGTGTCTCGACTGGCCCTCCTCCAAGCGTGCCTCGCCAGTTGGCGCCTCCTGGCCAAGCGCCAGGGAGGTCTGCAGGTGTCTCGGCTGGCCCTCCTCCAAGCGTGCCTCGCCAGTTGGCGCCTCCAGGCCCAATTGCGTGGGCAGAAGCGCTGGCGCCGACCACGAGGTGTGTAGACTCCTCATGGACATGTCCTCCTCACCGCTCTCCTGACGAAGGGCTTCCCAAACGGGTACGGTATTCTCATGCCGTAACAACCCTGGCATGTTAGATGTTCATTCTGGGGACCTTTCGGGATCCGCTCGCTCCACTCGTGCCTCGAAGCTGCGTCGACTCGGGTCGAGCTTGAGTCGAGCCTGAATCGAACTTGAGTCAAACCTGAGTCGCACTTGTCGAAAAAGTATCGAAATATAATCGAACTAGGGTTAGGTTCGTGAATTGCGACTACAGGCGGTCCACGACCATTTCGGGCCAAAAAACTTAAACCAGAAAAAAACACCAGGAAATCTTGAAACCAAAACCTGGGGAGGTCGACATCCTGAAAAAACTCAAACACCGAACCTGCGAAAAACTCAAACCCACAAAAACATAGGAAAAAAACCTGAAGCTCAAATCTGGGAAGAACTCAAACCAAACAAAAACTCCAGAAAATCTCTAAGCCGAAACCTGGGAAAAACTCTGGAATAACTGCGGAAACAACTCTGGAAAAAAAAACTCTAGAACAAACTCTTAAAACAACTCTGGAACAACTATGGAAAAAACTCTGGAAAAACTCTAAACAACTGAAAGCTCTAAAACAACTCTGGAAATCTTTGGAAACAACTCTAAACGACTGAAAGCTCTAAATAAAAACTATGGTAAATCTATGGAAACACTCGGGGAAAAAACTCTGGGAAACCTTTAAAACAAAACTCTAAAAAAACCTTCCGGGTTTGAGTTTATTTCCGGGTTTCCGCTTCAAGTTATTTTTCTTAGTTTTTTTAAGGTTGGAGTTTTTTCCCAGGTTTCGGCTTCAAGATTTCCTGTAGTTTCTTCTGTGAGTTTTCCCCCGGTTTTGTGTTTGAGATTCTCTCAGGTTGTCTTGGATTTTGAGTTTCCCATTCAATATTCTTTAACATTTTTTGGAGTTTGAGTTTCCGGCCGAAGGTGTTTTGAAGATTTGGGCAGGATTTCCGCTGGACCGCCTGTAGTCAATTCACGAACCTAAAACTAGGGTCGAGCAGATCCGTTAGGTGGTGGGCCCTGGGGAAGGTCCCCACGACGATCATCTAAGGTGTGGGTGTCTGATAACGCATGAATCGCTTAACCTTGACAGATCGGCGTTTTTTCGATGGACAGATCACTCCATGTCGGCCGATTCTGGGCCACTGGCGGCGTTCAACTTTAGACACCCGCGCCAAATTCGCCGCCGATTCCAATCGACGCGAGCCTGCAGTACTCTGGGCACCGCCCCGGCGAGCCCAACCCTTGCGATGCAAGGATAGCTGCAAGTCGCGAAAAGGGCTTGAAGTAGCAACTTCCGGCGGGCTTCCATAGAGCACCCGTCGGTCGGAAGAAGTGGGTAGAACCATGGAGCAGGAAGGCGGATAAGATAGATTGGACTTCTGCCCGCCCTGAAGAGGAGGGGAGAGGGAAAACCATTCGAGTCTTGAATTAGGACGGCGCCTAAAGTAGACTGGGATCTGGGAATCCAGACTTACCTACTTCCAACGTGCGGCGTGAACCTGTTAGCGAGCACCACCTGCGGTACAGAACGGAACTCTACCAAATCCAGAGGGAGCAAACGAAGAGCGGAATACGCCTCGACCCACGGCTGCAATTTTCTCTTGGGCGCGCCAGGCGTCCCGGCTAGCCCCGAACAAAAACATCCGCTCAGAGTGGACGGGTCCTGACTGTGAAAGGGCTCACGGACGCGCGCGTAAAAACGATGTCCCATCGTTTTCAGTCAGGTCTGAGGTTCCGTCTCCCCCTCCGCTGCACACATGTGTTCCCGTGCGCCATTGTTTTCTTGGGATCGGCGATGATTTGCGTCTGCTTGTTATTGCAAAGAAGAGAACGACATAAAGATAAATTGTTGGCGCTCCGCGCGGATTTCTTGGCACGGACCCCCCTCCCCGGCGCGCGGGGCGCGCCAGAGCGCTGGGGCGGCGCCGAGGGCGCCGCCAGGGGGGTCCCGGCGCGGATCCCAGAAACCCGCGCGGAGCGCCAACAACATTATTCCTATGACGTTTGTTTTTCTTCGAGCCCTCCACTTCCACCTGCACCCCCCATACCTTCCGACCTCCGCGGAGGGTGCAGGAGAGCTGATCGAAACTCATGTAAACCTCGCGCAGTTCGAAGAACACCGCTAGGGGAACAACAAATGACATAAACATAAAAACTCGGATGTCCGCGCGGATTTTTCGGATCCGCGCTGGGCCCCCTCTGGCGGCGCCTCTGGCGCCGCCCCTGGCGCGCGCCGAGCGCCAAGGAGGGGGGGAGCATGCTGCGCATGGAACGAACTCAATGAAAAAATGGCAGAGGATCCGTGATTGGAACAATCTAGATTGATGAGGCTACGATGCCTCTTTTGATTTTGAGCCGGCTATGATGCCCGCTCGCGCCCACCCCGTCCCGTCTTCAGGGGCTTCGCATTCCCCTATGATGGCAGGATGGGAAGATGGGCCGCCGCCCCTGACACTGCACGTACGGTGCCAGCTTTGCGGGGATTTGGTTCGACCCCCGCAGCACCAATGATGGAAACTGCGAGGGGCGTGAGGCCTCATGGTGGTCTTCACTGGTAAGGCCTATGATGCTCCTCACCGGGGGAGAGAAGGCAAGGGCGGACGTCCACCAACAACGTCCGTCGTGAAATGCGCCGTGACCACATTCATGAATCAGAAGACCGTGACATTCACGAGCACGACCCGACCTATGATTGCGGACTCCGTGAAACGCACCGTGGCCACGCTCATGACCCCGAAAACCGTGAAATTCACAAGCACGACTCGATTTATGATTGCGGACTCCGTGAAACGCACCGTGACCACGCTCATGACCACGAAAACCGTGAAATTCACAAGCACGACTCGACCTATGATTGCGGACTCCGTGAAATTCCCTGTGACCACACTGATGAACAAGAAGGCCATGACATTCACGAGCACGACTGGACCTACGATTGCGGACTCCCTGAAACGCACCGTGAACACACCCATGATCAAGGAAACGGTGACATTCACGAGCACGACCCGATCGAGGCCGAGGTGCTGCCCGCGCTGCCTGTATCGCGGTTCCGATGGGGTGGAGGCCAGGAGGAGGAGGACGACGACGACGAGAAAGTTGAGTTCAATGAACAAATTGAGCGCGAAGGCCTATGATGGTCCTTCTTCCCAAAACGCGCCTTGCTGATGGCCCCAAATTGGGTGCGAGGTGCCTATGATGGCCCCTCTGGTTGCCTATGATGGCGGCACTAGACGACCGGCAGGGAGCTGGGTCCCGTTCACGGTCCATTAGGGGAGAGCATGCTACGCATGGAATGAAGTCAATGGAAATAAATTGCAGTGGATCTGTGAGTCGATCAATCTAGATTGATGAGGCTATGATGCCTCTCTTGATTTTGAGCCGGCTATGATGCCCGTTCGTGCCCACCCCGTCCCGTCTTCGGGGACTTCGCATCCCCCTATGATGATGGGAAGACGGGCCGCCGCCCCTGGCACTGCACGTACGGTGCAGGTTTTGTGGGGATTTGGTTCGACCCTCGCAGTACCAATGATGGAAACTGCGAAGGGTGTGAGGCCTCAGCGCCGATCCGAGAAATCCGCGCGGACCTCCGAGATTTTATGTTTATGTCACTTTTTGTTCCCCTCACCGCATAGATCGCATTGAAAACGGAGCGGAAAGTTAGGGCGGAAGGTCCGGAAGGCTGAGGGGGAATGAGACCGGTAAGGCTTCGAACTGCGCACAGATCGGGAGCGGCCAAGAGGGGGGTGTCCAAGAGGTGGGGGTGCAAATCATGGCAGGCGGCATGTGCGCGGCCCAGGGGGGGGCCGGAGACGTAATGAAACAAGAAGAGGCGCCATCAAATCTGGGGAAATATCATGGCCCCCGCCATGATGTCCACCCCCCCCTAGTCATCACCCCCCTCTTTGCCGCTCCCGACGGGAAGGCTTCGAACTGCGCACAGACAGCCCCCCCAAGCACTCCTGGGCTGCTCGGGAGGCCCGCGGAGGCCGGCCGGGACTGCCTGGCCCCAGGCCTCACTGAAGGGGCCCAGGGCCACACACACACACACACACACACACACATAATAACACACACACATACACACATCCCAGGATTCCCGATATTTTCCTATATTTTCTGGGTGTTCGTCTTCCCTCCCACTTCGGCAACCTGCGGGCCCTCGCCGGACCTCGGGACCGCCACGAGCACGGCCCGCGCTGTGCAAGACCCGCCCGTGGAGAAGTGCCCGGGACTTTCGGGGGGCCCCCGGTGCCGAAGCGCTGGCGACATCTTGGGCGCCCGAGTTATCCGGGGTAACTCGGGTCCGGGGTAACTCGGGTTTGGATTCCCGAAAAAGGAACCCGAGTTAGCCCTGACCCCAGATACCTCTGATGATGTGGGGCTCTGGGCGCCCGAATTATCCGGGGAAACTCGGGTCTGGGGTAAGTCGGGTACGGATTCCCGAAAAAGGAACCCGAGTTAGCCCTGACCCGAATTACCCCTGATGATGTGGGGCTCTGGACGCCCGAATTATCCGGGGTAACTCGGGTCCAGGGTAAGTCGGGTTCGGATTCCCGAAAAACGAACCCGAGTTAACCCTGACCCGAGTTACCCCTGATGATTCGGGGCTCTGAACATCGGCAGGACATCGGCGACGTCGGCGTGGGGAAAGTCGGGCTCCACGTCGAGCTTCAAGTCGGGCGTGTCCCCCTACAGGTGGATTTTCGACGAAAAATAAAACAATACGCAAAAATACTCCCACATGGTCAAAACAATATGCAAAATAATCCCTGGACTTTTTTGTAACTATGTTTGAATAGTTCTCCTGTAGAGGGACAGGCCCGACTTAAGTCGAACTGCATCGCCGATGCATTGGCGACGCATCGGCAATGCGGCGCGATTTTCGGGCTCCACCTACCCTCGAACTCCAATTTCCATGCCATCGAAAGAAGCCATCGAAACTCCTGGAAGCCTTGCGCAAGTCAGGGTAAAACCCGCGTAG